CTTTAAAATACACTAATTAAGTGACTTTTTTTAAACTCGTGCACCCTTTAACCCATTTGTGACCCCTGAGCTGTCCAAGAGGAACAAAAAAAGTCGGCCGACAGTTTTTTTGGGAGCTGTTCTTCACTTTTTTCAAAAAAGTGAGCCAAAGACAGCTATTTCATTATTATATTTAAGCTTCACAAGCAGTTTTTCAGCTAATGTTTCAGGAGCTAATGAGTTTAGGTAATAATAACTACTGTAAGAATACCCTTCCCGTTAATACAGCTGCATCTGGATCCCTGATGACTGTAAGGTTTGCATATGCCAGGGCCTTAGAAACATCTCCAGAGATCAAGTACCAGTAGCAAACTGGGGAGAATACAGGTAGACCAATGCCACACTGGACGATAGAGTTAGTGCTATCATTTTTCCTAGAGTTTTCATCATGCCCGAAAACACAGTACTAGCATTATGAAAAGGCATAAGGCGCCCAGCTTGGCCCTCAAACAACTTGTATACTGTGGAGCATGCAAGTGTTTTATAAACTAAAGAATACATCTCCTTTCTGGGACCTCCACTGTCCACGGCTGGTTGGTCTTTAAAGACTACCCTCACTGGTCGAGAGGGATCAAACTCAGGATCTTTGTACAGAGGTAATATGTCTGCAAGGACATCACACTGATCCACAGTTATTCTTCTGGGTGCTCCAGTAAGCTTTTTGCCTAGTTTTTCCAGAACTGATGACAATTGGACATCTGGCCTCGGTTGTTCAAAAGGTGGATAGCACTATCTACTGGATAAATCACTATCCACTGGATAACGCAATTGGTTTTCCTAACACTTATCCGTTGGATAGTGATTTATCCGGTGGATAGCGTTATCCAACTTTTGAACAACTGGGGCCTGCAATAAATCAAATAAATTAAATAATATCAAAGCCCGGAAGAATATATAATATTAGATTGACAATCAAACTGATGATAACTTCTCTCAGTTGCTACAAAGCTGTATTATGCTACATGCAGGTTAAATAAAAAAAAGAAACAACCCACATTTTCCCATCATTTGTAAATTTTTAGTTGTATACCTATGAGAAAAGCAGGAAAATGCTAAGTAATTGTTTCCTATAATGAAATGACATATATACGCCAATAACTGCAGTTTTTTAATTTATCTAGCCTGTTTTATATATTTTATTATGTATAGCCTATCCAATCCTTGGCAGGTTCAGTGCAACAGCATCATGCAAATAACAGTCTCATACCCCCATAAGTAAAGGTTGACCACACCACTGGGGTCTACAGCAAACAATGCAACATTATGGGTTCTTTTTCCCAGAAGAACAGGTCAGAGAAAGGGCTGTGGGACGGGGCCTGTGGTTTAATTTTCATTCTTATATGAGGAGACCTTCAAAGGTGACACATTCTCCTTAGTTATTTTAAGACCCTGAGTAGTGGTCCAGTCATAGGTTTGAAAACACAACCTCTGGAGAGACCTGCAGCCTTCCAACTGAGCGAACCAAGTGTCACTAATAAACAATGGTTATGTAACTACTTTTACCCCTGGTAATAATTTATTACCATACCTTTGCCTACATCATTCTCTCTAGCCTATCCTTCCATGGATGCAACATCAAGATTTCATCATCATCCTCATCTGCTGTACATGTAATAAACAACAAAGGGATTGAAATTATATTAGCAGACTTCAACAGGCTTAAACTTGGCTTTAATTCCATTGCAAATAAGAAAGGTTTTCCCCATGACTTACAAACCTCTTACACTTTGATTGAGAATTACACCTGCTGCTTCATTTATATCCCCATTTACTGCTTCAAGGGCATTTTCCACTTCCGACACAGGCATATCTGGAAAAAGCTGTTGAAGGTTCTGTACTGGTTCTATTCAACACAAGATACAAAATACCGTTCAGCAAAGAGTGAAAAATGAAATCAATGATAAATTTAACAGCTTTCAAGGCATTTCATAGGAGAGTAGTTCAGCAAAAACAACTTGACAAAGACTTTCAGAACCTCAAAACTAAGCTACACAATTTTTCAAGAACTGATACCAGCAGCATCATGGGAAAGGTATTGTTCAATCCCCTGATCTCTGCAAAATAATAATAATAATCATAATAGTAAGTAAAAACATTGTACATTTTATCAATCTAGTCGTGTACTTGCATGAAATGATCATCTGTACCAATACCGTAAAAGTCTGTGTATAAGCCACACATGTAGATAAGATGAATACCAATTTTGGAAGGTAAGATTTTGGAAAAATATATATATATCTATAATTAGGCAACAAAGCTTGTAGTTCCCGCCAAGTCAAAACAAAGAAAGACAAAAACAAATGGTGAACACTGACATGCAGAGCAGTTAATGTTGTGATCTTTTTCATTCATGAGTCTTAAGATAGCAAACTTTCATTTGATGTACCTTCTTTTTGGTTTTTCAATTCACTTCGTTTTGAATTTAAAATGCTCCTTTTACCTGATTTTTTTCAAGATTATCACTTCCAAAGAAGCCATGAACGAACAAATGAATAAATGGATGCTTAGTAGCCAAGGTGAAATTGTGAGGAGCAGCCTGTGAATAATAACACACAAACAGCGAAAAAAAAAAAGTAGGCCATTTGCCTTGCAAGTACTTTCAAACTTCATGCATGCATGTAGCCTGTTCCAGGTGTTCAGATGGTAGAGCACGGCGGTAAGTGGGGAGCAAGTTAAGTTGTACACCGGGAAAACGTTTTTTTTTTTTCGTGAATTTTTCTCCCGCGCTCTACTATCTGAACGCCTGGAACAGGCTAGCATGCATGTGGCTGAAAGATATCCATAGAGGGGACTAGCCGCAGGCGTAGTTGCAAACAGCTTTGTGGAGCAATGGAGATTCGTAGTAGTTTAGTGTTAAGTTGTTCAAATACAATGTAGTTTTAAAGAACTCTTGGAGGACAAGATGTGTCAATCGATAAACATTCGACGATGGTGCCACATAGATAAGTCACCCCCTATTTTTTACTTCAAACTTGAGCAAAAAGGTGCGACTTATACATCAGGGCTTTACGGTATGTAATGTACATAACCTTTTGTATGTCATTAGCAAGGATCCTCACTGGAACCAAGATGTCTTATGATTTGAACACCTTACCTCAGTCGTAGGGCATGTTTTATTGGGATCAATCATTTCAACCAAAACTGGTTTTGGTTGAAGTGGTTGAAGTTACCATTATAGAACACTTTTTCAATCTTTTTTGGTTGAAATGCAGTTGTGACTGGGTATAAGAGTCAATCCTAGACTTCCAAGACTTCTTCTTGCGCAAAATTAATATTGCTCAAAATGACACGAAACTAAAAAATATCGGTGCCCACTGTCAGATCAGCGTACACTGCCTATCCTTTTCAACTGTTTCAACCACGCTCTGGGCTGGTTGAAAAAGATGATTGACCAAATCAACCAAAAACGGTTTTTTCTCAATAGAAAACTTATTACAAATTAAGTGAGGGGTTTTTTAAATAAATTAACAAAATGGAGAAAATTATCAAAAAAACTCCCCCTCTGGTAAAAAGACTAGTTCTTTGTTAAAAAATGAAGTAAATTTTTCTAGGAACTCAATAAACAGAATGCAATTTTTAAGGCTGTTTTTTAACCAACCATTTTATATAGCAAGGAAACAATGCCAGCTTCGTCGACTTTTGAGCAATCCTAGCTAAACGTGTTTTACAATCATGACAAATAATGAGTAGGTGCTCAAAACTGAATAATTTAAAAACAGCAAAGGAGACATTGGCAACTCCTGTGACGTCTTGAGACACCTGAGGAGCTCCCCCCTGAGCATGAATCTTGGTGACCTCGCATGTTGTTTATGGGTACCAAAGCATGGCAATTTATGCAGTTAACTTTGGGACTATTATCTTGTGGTTCCTCCTCCTAGAAACAACAGAAAGTTAGACATTGAGAATTTGTAAAGAAAGTGTGCACCCATCAATATTTTAAAATCAATGACACAATTTTTTCTTTTTATCGATTTCTATCTATTGATATTGGAAATCAATATTCATCGATGATTGATATAAATAAGCCACTTGCACTAAGAGGTCACGTGACCAATGCTTCCTTTAAACAATGAGTTGGAATCTTCCTGATGCCAAAAATTGACATAGCACGTAAAAATTATCTTACACCTGAAATTTGAGAGGAAATGCATTTAAGGGGGATATTTTATGGCACTTTGATTTTTCAGTAAAATAGTATGATTTGTATTGGCCGCCATGTTGGAGGGCATGCTCTTGCCCTCCAACATGGCGGCCAAAACTACTTTTTGCCTATATCTTGTTAAACATTTGATAGTTACACTCAGATGTGCTGTAAACGTTAGCACATCATCTTTTCAACATTTTCCTTGAAGTTTTAAGTGCAAAATTTGTGTTCAGAAAGAGGTAATTCATAATTTTCAAAATCACATTTTGGTCACGTGACCAGTTACGAACTTACTCATTTTAAGAAAATGGTACTAGTTTGAAAAACCAAATCACTATTATTTTGTTTATGATATGACCCACTAACCGTTTTTCGAAGGCAAAATTATATAACTTTCATTTTCATAAAAACGATGTCACATGACCTCTTAGTGCAAATGGCCTATTGCCATAGATTATCGGTTTATCGATTAACTACGTTTGGAATTCTTCGAGAGGGAAAAAAGGGCTAAGAGTGGGTGGGGCTTTGCAATGAAATATGAATAATTAAGTATAGATTGCCCATCAACAAAACCTCTTTACATGTACATAAATATTATCCACCACGTTCCCTCCATACCCAGCAGACAAGTTTGAACTTCTCACCTTGTCAGAGAAGTCGGCATCTGGCTTTCCCAAAAGTGGAATATCCTCTTGCAAAGGTCGTAGATATCCCTTTGCTTGACCGAGCACACTTTTCAAATATGTTACAGTGCACCCGTTCTGTGGCATAGGTATGAGTAACAAATCTTTAGAACGACCATCCCCTGCTCGGAGCAGCTCGTAACCTGCGCGAAGCGCGGGAAAGCATTCGAGAATCTTTTCATGAACATTCCCGCATCACCGTCTTTCGGGAAAATAATTTTTTTCTCACCCAGCCCATTCAAATTGAGCTCGATCCGCTCGCTGGTCGATGGAGGGCAACCCTGACCCGCGTTGGCCAGGCAAATGAAAGACCGCGACCAGGAGGCGTTCGCAGCAGCACGACCATGTGCTTTACCGTTACGACCACTTTGCCTTGAATTTCTCGGGAAATTTCGACCTTGTCTCGAAGATCCCGGTGGCCTGTATCCAAAGATACGGTTGTGCTCTTGCCAAGCACTTTCTGAAACAGAGGGAGCGGTATTTGGAACGGCACGATGTGAACCAGAAGACCCGCTCGATATGGAGGTGCTGTCGTCAGTTCGCGGACGTGTGTTGGATGTGTTCGATGGTGCGCTTGATGATGCAACGGATCCGCCATTAACTCCTGAACCCCAGATAAAATCCGCTGTTTCAATTAGACGCTGGGCACATTCCCTCAACAAATTGGGATCCATTCGCAAAAACTGAGCTACGCACTCACAAGTTTGTACTGTCAGAATATCATGAAATGGCACAATGATGAAAGCATGCGCGCCTCGAAAGCACGTGGTTGTCGTCAAAATACGTCATGTACGACTACATGTATAACGCCTGATTAGAAGCTTGTTGCAACCGGAACAACACATAGTCAGCAACATCTTCATTAACATCCTGTTCCAATCTTCTCGAAAGATCTATTAGGTGTAGACGAAGGTTTTGCAAGAAATGCGATTGCTCAGGTGTCAAGCTCATTTCTTAGAAAAACGATCAAGGTCGATCAACTCAACGACGAGCGGCCATTTTTGATCGATGACCCGGAGACACTGGAGAGGAGTTTCCAGACTCTTTTCGGGCCTTTCTGGGTAGAAACGCCTGGTTGAAAGTTCGCAAGTCATTCTGTTGTGCAGCGAAAGCGAATTCAAAAGTCATTTTGGGAGTAACTGAGTCGCGATTCGTGTTGGGTGCAGTAAAGCACAATAGTGCGTTTTCTACAGTGACGTGGGTAAACCTAACTCCCCATGTAAAAAAAGGATCCTTCGTTTCTTTCATCAAATAATCCTCCTGCTACGTATTTTGCAAGTAAGCATGCAAACAACGGATTTCAAAAGTAATGACGATTTGAAAAAAGTTATTGAAGAATTGTTTCATTCATCATAAAATAATCCTACTGCTACGTAATTCTCAAGTAAGAATGCAAAGAGATTCCAAAAGTAATGATGGTTTAAAAAACACGTATTATAACATAACAAAAGTAAATCGCGCGCTCTGATTGGTCAGTTAGCCACTGCTATTTGCCCGTGGGTGCACGCTAAGAAACTGAGCTAGCGCGGTAAAATTTAGGCAAATTCAAGAAATCTCCTCTAGCTCCTGACGCTAAAATACACCGATGAAATGTACAGATGAAAAGTGGAAGGTGAAGAAAATACTAAGCTGTCGTTTTGAAGGAAAAAAGACAAAAGATCAAGCGACAAATTTGCCCTGGATCAATTAATCACTGTTTTCCTCGCGGCTAGAATCGGCTGGAGGAAATTCGAGCGAGCGAAGATTTAAGGTACATTTTGTGTGTTTTTTTTATAGAGGAGAAAGTCTGTTTGAAATGTGAATTTATCAATTACCATTGTGTTATTGACTTTTTGGTCAAGCTGATGCTAAATTCAAGCAAATATTTTAGGAAACACGCTCAAATTCGAGACAGCTTTGTTGTAAAGTTTTCATCGCATCGATTAACAATTTTAGTTGAGTTTAAACGGGCACATAACGCTGGAATAAGCGAATTTCATTTGAGTACAGAAACATTTGGGTTTTCAAATAAATTTTTCAAAAAATAACTTCTGTGTGTATTATTTTGTTCCTCAGTGTTCATTCATAACAGTCGTTCAGGGAACAGTCGAAAAACAACAGCTTCAGCGCCGGCTGTGTGTCGGCGAATTTCAGTTGACTTTCATAGCTGGATTTCCCCAGACAGATTTCGATACAAAGCTAGTTAATTTCTTTTTAAAATTAGTGTTACCTGTTATTCTAAAGGAATCGTCATTACTGTCAAATTTTCTCATTTCTACTTTACGGTTATTTCAAAAATTGTCACATAAATAAGCTTGATAATTATTTCAGTTATTTAGTTTTAGCTTATTTTTTAGAGTCTTTTTAGTTGGTGTTTATAGTTGCAGATATAGTTTTCCCTCAAAGTTTTTACCCTAATATTAAGAGCAAGTAGACAGATGCCATTCACAATAACGACAAAAAACGTTTTGCAATTTACCTGAAGACGGAGAACGGCTGATTCAGCGAAAGAAAAACTCAAAGGCAAGTTTTTGAAAAACATAGAACATGATTTGTTTACGCGCGGGCAGATGGCAGCATACATGAACTCCGACCGATGACTCAACTGAAGGCAAATGGAAAACAATGTTTTTCTCTTTTGATTATGTTATAAAAGAAATGGTAAACGTTGCAGCTGTGCAACCATGGAGTTATGGATGCACTTGGGAGGTTTGCTAAACAGTCAAGAAGCTAGAGTCGCACTCGGCTATCGCCTCGTGCGACTCTTACGCTTCTTTCGTGCTTAGCAACCTCCCGCGTGCATCCATAACTCCATGGTTGCACGCTGCACGTTTACCATTTCTTAATTTACGAAATTGATCATCGAATAATCCTTCGCAAGTAAACATGCAGAAAAGTGATTTCAAAAGTGATGCGGGCGAGTTTAAAAAATCGTATTTAAGAAATTGCTTCATTTGGTTCCATAGAAAGCATGCAAAAAGATTTCAAATTAAAGTAATTATGCATGCACGTAAACCATTCTCAGATCAGTTCGAGTAAGAAGGGTGGATTTGAAAGTCATGACACGACGAAAGGATTTCATCGCAAGACAGCACGTCAAGAAAACAGGTCATAAACCGACAATCATCATCTAAGATAATCATTTATTTGGCAATTCAGTTTGTGTGGTAACTATACACTTATTTTTTGACCCTGAAAACGCGCCATAATTTTTAAGGTCATTATAAGAAAGTTTTCGTCATCTTTATTTTAGCTTAGTCGAGTGCTATCAAATAAGCGAATTGGGCTAACCATGGAGACATGTTTTTCAACGATGAGCTAATCCGAAGGACGAGCACCTGTCGACGGCAGCAATAATTTCTTTCTACACTGTTCCTCTTTTTTTTTTTCTAGCGTTACCATTATCATTATCGTTGGCGTTGTTAAGATTACTTGCTTATTTACTTACCAGCTGACAACGTTTTCAATACAAGAACTTTGCTGGTTGGACCGTGGCCGACTTTGTTCAATCCATTTATCTTGATTTGATATCTAGTGGTTGACGGAAGTCTATTAATGACAGCCTCTGTGACGTTTCTTGTGACATTCATTTCCTTATATGACTGGGAACCAAGGGGATTGTATCTTATCCTGTAGCCTAGCAGTTTGTCCTTGTACTTCGTTGGGAAGATTCTTTCCCACCAGATGTATAAAGAAGATGAATTGAGAGGATAACCTTTTACCAACACGGGAGCATTCTCCGGAACTAGTGATAAGGAAAAATAAAATATATTATGCGACAAACAGCTCAAACTCCCGTCTTTCTTGGGAGTTATCGTTATCATTTATGTGCATGCATTGTTTATGATTAGTGGATATTTTTTTTCAGTTGGCTTTCAACGACCTGCTGCTACCAAGTTCTGTCACTGGCCTCAAGCTCTACGGTGAGATGGTCGTTGATGTGTTACGCAATTCTTATTCAAGATGTACGGCCGACATATTTCATAATCCTTCCGCTCAGGGAATAAAACGGCTAAAGAATAAATTTGCTTTTGGGCGGCTGTAATACCTTGGCCAGATTAATGATTGTGCATTTTTCTTGTCCGAACTATATGTATTAGATAATGTCAGGGGGAAAGTGTAAGCAAAGATCATCGGGATGCTCCCATCATTGAAGCCTTAAAAACTCTTATTACATATCATTTCTCATGTTCTTAAGGCTGATCGTGAAAAGAAGGCATTTGTGGCCAGCGCAAACAAAAACGGAATAAGTAGCAATTCTATTGCAACTTAGCGACTTGTTTTTTAAATAGCACAGCCCATAAATGACGTATGTGTGACTTATTTTCAATGTTAAGCTGACTTTTGTCATTTTTGTCCTTTTATGACAAAGGTCCGATAAACAAGACATTTTAGTCACAAAACAATCAAAGACAGGAATTCGCTAATGCTTATGGCATTTTTTCAATCTGGCTTTCAGTTCTATAAACTACATAGGTCCAGCGCTATTTAGATGCATGGGCACTGAATTTATTCTCTTTCTCTTTTTTTTTCTTTCTACCATTATCATTATCATTATCGTTGTCGTTATTTAGATTACTTGCTTAAAAAACTTACCAGCTGTCAACGTTTTCAATTCAAGAACTTTGCTGGTTGGTCCGTGGCCGACTTTGTTAAATCCATTTACCTTGATCTGATATCTAGTGGTTGACGGAAGTCTATTAATGACAGCCTCTGTGACGTTGCTTGTGACGTTCATTTCCTTATATGAGTGGGATCCAAGGGGATTGTATCTTATCCTGTAGCCTAGCAGTTTTTCCTTGTCCCTGATTGGTGGGATTCTTTCCCACCAGATGTTTGCAGAAGATGAATTGAGAGGGTAACCTTTAACCAACCCAGGAGCATTCTTTGGAGCTAGTAAAAAGGAAAAATAAAATATATTATGCGACAAACACAGCTTAAATTCCCAGGAGTTATCGTTATCACTTATGTACATGCATTGTTTATGATTAGTGGATATTTTTCAGTTGGCTTTCAACGACCTGCCTTTACCAAGTTCTGTCATGTCAAGATGGTCGTTGATATGTTACGCAATTTTTATTGGAGATGTACGCCCGACATATTTCACACTCCTTCCGCTCCGGGAAAAAAAAAATTTAAAGAATTAATTTGCGTTTGGGCGACTGTAATATCTTGGCCAGATTAGTGGTTGTGCATTTTTTTTGTCCAAACTAAATGTCTGAAATGTACTAAATAGCACAGCCCACAAATGACGTCTGTGTGACTTATTTTCAATGTTATCCTGACTTTGGTCATTTTTGTCCTTTGATGACAAAAATCCGATAAACATGACATTTTAGTCACAAAAGACAATCAAAGTGAGTAATTCGCTAATGCTTACGGGATTTTTTTAATCTGACTTTACGTTCTATAAACTACATAGGTCCAGCGCTATTTAGATGGGCACTGATTCTACCTCTTGGAGGACATTTTGATATATTGCAGTATTCCCATCGAACTCTGGGGTCAGTGGTATAACACCAAGGTCCATCCGGGGCACTTCCCTCTGGGATGCGACACATGTTGGAGTCATTTTGGCCATCAACTACATCTTGAGGGATCCGCCAGTGACGATGGGGACATTGTGAGGCCCAACGCTGACAAGTACGGCCAGACCGGGTGGTGTTGACAGTACCTCGATAGCCAACACCGATATCGTAAAAACAATCTGTGGAAAACACGTGATTAGACTTTACATTTCTGTCTTTCGGGTTTCTCTACATGGGGGAAATTATATTTTATCCAACTCCCAGGCAGTAGTTTTAACAGGGAATTGAAGGTCTGCCACACTGGATGAAGTAGCTTAATTATCTATCAGAATGATCAGCCGACTTTGTAAGTCTTTCTTGGGCCTGCGGAAAGTCAAGAAGGGAGATTGCTCCTTTAATAAATATCATATAATTGACTACAATATACTAGCAAGGTCAAGACTAACCTGTGCTCTTGGTATCATCATCTATAAGGAATTAATGAAAAGATGAATTTTGGTTAGACGGGCTTTGGCTGTTTCACACAGTTATGGAACTCAGTTCTACCCCATTGGTTCTACGCCGGTTTTCGTCCCTTGGTATGACGTTAACATTCTAGGGCGACATGACTATGCATATAAAAAACTGTTTCAAGGGTGAACGCCGATTGGACCAGAGGTAAGTGTCCGTCTTAAAGATATCTCCAACTTAACTTCAAGCATTGGAGGAACAGTTTAGCTACTGATTTAGCAACAAAACAGGGACGCCAGTTGACGATGAGAAAGCGCGCAGAAAGGACTAAACGCGACTTCCGGTGCCCAAGTCGCCGCTCTGCCACTGGTCAAGCCAGTTGTTTGATTTTCGGGCCTCTTCGTCAACTGACGTCCCCGTTTTGTTGCTAAATCAGCCTAATATCATTTTCTGGTGTGTGTATTGTTGAGTGCCTTTTCAATCTTTTGTATTACGTCATTTGAAAATTGCACCCGTCCACAACACCAGAAAACTATCACAGTTCTTGAAAAAAATTCAAAGTTACTAATATTTACAAAATTTTCAGGCCCTCAGAAGAAGTATCCCATTTGGAACCTTATTCTCCCTAATGACAGACGATTAAATAATACAAGGCTGCCTTCAGTATACAAACCTAGTAGGGGCTGGTACAGGTAGCACTCAGGGGCGTCACCTCCGTTTGCAGCAGTATAAATTGAACAGTTTATCATGTCGTAATCAAATCTTGGGGCAGTCTTGGCAGCGTTCCTAATAAACGCCATCTCCTTTACGCATAAAACATAGTCAAGATGTTCGCACGTCCTACGACAAATCCGCCGAGGTCGAGGTATTCGTAAGGTTATATCGCACGGCTGGTAGTGATAACGGCAAAACAGGTCTCTCATTATGGGTTGACACCGCTCAGATATTTCGAAGAAATTAAAATAGCTTTGAAAAGTAAAAGTTTCCCTGTCACCGTAATCCACGGTCGCCTGGTTGCCAAATAGGTAGAGACTGGTAATAATGCCCTTGCAGAGTGTCCCTTTAGTGTATTCGTAGAAGATACAATACTTGTCTCTCGTGGAAGCGTTAACTGGAGGCTCAGCCTGTACACAGCTACAAAAAATTAAGTAGATAAATAAACAAATAAAATGATAATAAGGTGAAGAAATTATTCAGTAGGTTAAAGTTATTACAACGCTTTTTGTTGACACAAGATTAAATGGAACAACCAGAAAATAATGATAATGATGGTGATAATAGTGGTGACTACATTTGATCTCAAAAGGAGGACGACTGAAAAGTCATGTACGATTATGCTCAATTCAAATGATTGGTAACATTAAGGTTAATCAGTTTGCTTTATCCCTCTCCTCTTAAGAGATCAATAGCATGGAATCGTAAAATGGTATTGTGACGTCATTTATAGCGGTGGAAGAGGTGGATCATCTTTTTCTTTTAGTCCTCGAGGAAGGTTTGTCTTCCGAACCGAAATATCAGGAAAATTTTTCATTATTTTTTTTCATTATTTTGTTTACTTGTTTATCGCGTTGCCGTCAGGATCAGTTTGCCGTTTTAATTTTTCTTTTTTTTTTCTTTTTTTTACGGGGCATTAGTTTATATACATGTAAAAGTAAATATTTAGCTGAACGGTTGGATTCAACTTCCACTCAAAAACATACAACGTACAGTCAAAAGCTCTGGAATTTAACCGTCAACTCTCAAAATAGAATAATAATAATAGAATAATAATAATAACGATAACAAAAAAATCTTTATTAACATATGACCAATTTACATTTCACTATCATAGACTAAAACTTTGATGAAATAAAAATATTAAAAGATCCTAATTATATAAAAGACTAATTTAAAAGCTCACGCCCTTATCGACTTTCTAAAATTAGCGGACCCGCTTGGCTAGCTTTTAAGCGGCATTCATGATCATCATATCACCAATTTACATTCCACCATCATAGACTAAAATTTTGATGAAATAAAAATATTAAAAGCGGCAGTCGTTAATGAAGTCCCCTCGTGGAATTTTGTGGAAGGGTGTCCTGGAACCTCTTACGCATGTGTGTACCGACCTTAAAAGCTCAAAAGAAAGCAATAAACTAAAAATAATAATAATAATAATAATAATAATAATAATAATAATAATAATAATAATGATGATAATGATAATAATAATTTGCGCCGTTAACTATGTTGTTTTTGTCTGTTTAAAAAAAGCCCCAAAAGAGAAAGCAGGCGGTCCATCATCAGTAGAAGAGAAAAAGGGCTAGTTTTGGGTAGTCAAGTCCCCCTTTCAGTCTACGATTTGGTTTTGCTGGGCATCCCACCTCAGACTGGCCAATAAGCGAGGCATAAGACTCCCGTGTAACTAGACATGTGACTTCTCTCCAATAAAATCAACGAAAATAGAGGAACTCAAATCCTAAAGGGGAGCATAAAACCGCCATAATAATAATAATAATAATAATAATAATAATAATAATAATAATAATAGTAATAATAATAATAATAAAGAGAAGAAGAAGAAGAAGAAGAAACAGCGGATGATGTTACATCTACATCAGCAAACCACTGAGGAAATTGTTCTCTAATGGATCATAAATATAGTAACAAAGAAGATACACCAATCGCAGCCGTCCTGCCACCGTAACGCTGGTGAAACTGTGTAACATTATAAACTCATTATTTCAAATAAGATTCACGCGAATATAGTCTTCAATGTAAATGTAGCCTTTTAAGACACTGAATGAAAAACCAATTGCACAAGCGCACTTTGAACGAGCAATCTAGGCTAAGAAGAATTTTCCTTCGCTTAAAAAAAGCAATAAAAGAAACTTATCTACTAACATACCTTGAGTTGCTGTTTATATAAGTGTCATTATCTCCTGGTACTAAAAGAAAAATAAAAAAATGATTTAATCTCTAGTATTTTAAAGGTATCCAATGCTTAAGCTATTCATTTTACAAATTGGTCGCATAGCAATTCAGTCGTTGAATCTCTTTAACGTTCTCTTTATAGGGTACTAACAGTTTCGCCCGCCAGGACCGACTCTAGTTACTGGCCACAATATTGAGGGAGGAGCCTAGGTAGTTCGTTCTGGACGCATAATGCGTCTTGTGCCCGTCTTTATAATTGAGACGCATAACCAGACAAACTTCGAAATGTTTGCCTAAGTTCGTCCAGACGGATAATGCGTCCTTCTTATAAAAAACGGACATTATTGTAAATTTATTATTATTACAGTTTACTTGGCATAATTCGCGCATGTTAAAATAATAGAAAGTAGAATAAAAATCCTAACGTCAACAACTGTTTGTTTGCGCCAAGGAAACATTGCGGTGTTTCAAACTGTAGTGTGTCAATCTAAAAGACAGTAAAAGAAAGATAAAAATGAAACAAATTTTAAGAAAAAGCTAAAAATAGCCTTAGAATGGCTCTGTCGGTAGATTCCAAAATATAAAAAATATCAGCAAGTCCACAGCAACAAACCAATGAGTGGTGCCGGATCTTCCAGTTGTAGACCTGGTTCAGTACAATTAAACTTGTAGAAAAATACGGAACGGCAAACTGATCCTTATGGGAAGGCGATGAAGAAGTAAACAAAAGAATAAAACAAAAAATCTATATTTAAAGGAATTGCCCAAAATTTCGGTTTGAAAACAAACCTTCTTTAGGTACTAAATGAATGAATGAATGAATGAATGAAGCTTTATTTAATCTCGGGTTTGATGAGGTTGGTTAGACATCTAGCAACAAATATGCTAATGCTAATGAGCCAAGGAAAAAAAACAAGGAAAACAAAACAAATAAATAAAATAATAGAGAAAGAAAGGGAAGTCCAAAAACTTATTTACAGTATAAAGCCTAAAATTACGTGACATAGCTATTTACAATAAAAAGCCCTATTACTTAATAGAACATATATATCATATGGAATTAGCTAGAACCTTAGCTGTCGGACTGCTTTTTTAAAAGCTGACAATGTACTTGTCTTAAGGTAATCAGAAATCTTGTTCTAAGTAATGGACGCCAAGTACTTTACTGACAGTTCTTGCCATAACGGGTCGTATTAGGTTTAGGTACTACAAGAAAAAATGAACTGTAACATTAAAAGTTCGTCACAAATAAGAATTTGAAAATGTGACAATAAGAAACAATGGATTGTTATTAGTATAGGAGACTAGGTGGTATCATATATCCATCTTGAACCACTCCTGTCTCCTTACATTTTAATCAAGCTGGGCATTCAATCAGCGACGTCATTCTAATCCCACTTTCAAGAACTCCCCATACGCAGCAACCGTGACGCAGTGAGAAAGGCTCGAGAAGCTCATTTAATACACAAAGGGGACACATTATCTCCTCTAGGAATAAATAGACTTGACGAAGCTCACTGATATACTGTTACCACCTTGTCTCCTATACAAATAACAATCCATTGTTTTTATTGTCACATTTTCAAATCTTATTTGTAACGAACTTTTAGTTTTATTTTAATTTTAATTTGAAGAAGGTTTGTTTTTAAACCGATTTTTTTTAAATATATATTTTTTGTTTTATTATTTTGTTTACTTCTTCATCGCCTTGCCTGAAGGATCAGTTTGCCACTTCATATATTTCTCTTGGTTGAGTAGGGGAGGCGAGCAATGCTGGTCGAGGGGGAGAGATAAAGGTGAGAAGTCCTGCCTCAGTAGGCTGAATGTTTAGTCAGTATAAGAAAACATGACCAGGTTAACAAACAATCATCAGGATCATCTAATGAGGCTGAGTATGTGGTATGAAGACTGAGGATAACAACACCCTCCGAGATCCGCCTAATTCTTCATATCACGCAAAAACCGAATCCAATTATTATTTCATCCTCTTATCTTACCTTCATTACTTTCTGGGTATGAAGAATTAGCCGGGGATTTAAACCAATCAGGAGCCAATCAGAAAGGGAGGAGTATATTATGAAGTCATTTAAAGTATTCAGTCCTGTGGATATTACAGTTGCAATCAGTACCAGCCAGCGGTACTGATTCATAGTACGGGAAGTTAATTACTCTCACAAAATCCATGGGGAAGTAAAATTGAGATTGCGGAAATACGAAAGTCTGCAATAATTGACCATAGCAGCCGATCTGTACCAGAGCGAATGGCAGTGTGTGACAAGGAGGAACATGGACATACACCAATAACTAACACACGCGCGTGGTGCCACTAGTGGTCACAAACGTTAATAGCAAATCGACACCAAGAGCAAATTGTCAGATTCAATATTGAAGTGACTACAGTCGAATTAATTGCATCCTATTATATCTTTCAAAGAAAGCCAAGCCAAGGCGTGAGGCGTCTCTTGCAATTTGCGAGACGAAACTTTTTCGCCCTTCTTGCAATCCCGCAAATCGGGTAATCCCGATCCCGCGCAAATTACGTCGTTTTAAGGAAATAAATTCTTACGGAGGTACCAGTTCCCTAACCTAAAGAAAATGGGAGTACCGCATGTTAAATCACAAAAATTAATCCCTTGCTCTTAATATTCATTATACTTGTCCCGAATTTATCATATTCTCTCCTTAAATTCCTGATCCCTAACTTTAAATATTTATACTACCCTGAATCCTTTTGAAACCCTACATGGGACCATTTTGCATTTCACGGTGTGACATGAAAAAAGCCAGTTATATAGACAGACATCCACCACAGTGAAAAATTATAGCGTACGTGGAATCTCTTTTCTCTTGGAACATGCTATGCGACCATGATAGAAAAAAAAAAAAAAAGGTCGAAACTTCAGGGTCATATAGCCTTAAGCCTTGTCGCAACTTTAAACTGGGTAAACGTAATACTTTACAGGCTACGCGATTCCTTGTCAATAAAGCAAGCAAATTCTTTGATTACCCA